GAGTTTGGACATAAAAAATACTGAAAGAGCAGCAGACAATGGAGGCCGGGCTTGGGAGATTACACAGGGAAGTTTTCATGTCCCTTCAAGACTCTATGGGGCTGTTTGTATAGGTTTTTTTTTTTTTTTTTTTTTTTTTTGAACGAAGGATCTGTGATTTCTGCTCACCTTGAGCTGAATAATCAGTTGCAATTAAGAAAATACCAACACAGCCATCAACTAGCTAAGAGGAAGGATTCCCACTCACACCCTTCAGCATTTCACCTGCATACCTCGAGTTGGGAAACGTCCTTTTCTTGTCTAATGGAAGGTGACGTATGTTCCCCATAAGGAGTTAAAATGTGGAGGAGAAGCCATCAGAACAATGGTCGCTGCCAGTGTTTTGATTTTTCTTTTGTTTTCTCTTTGATGTGCACAACAAAGGTATTCAGACATAACACCTCCAGCCTCATATTCACAGCCTAACAGATTTTGCACTCTGGCTTGGGGCTCTTTTTCCATTTAGCAGATTGAGGCGAGGGTTCACATGAGGTTTTCCCCTCACCTCTTCTGAAGCAGCATTTGGCAGGGGGGTGGAGCTGGAGCCCGTCTGCACATGGCTCAGGAGTGGAGCATCAGCCTTGCACAAATGAGGCCCTAGGTTCCATTCCCAGAACCAGAAAAAAAAATATTAGTGCAGGCATGGCCAAGCATTCAGGCAGTACAGAGTACATAGAGAACTCCTTTAATAGAATGTGGGTTCCCGAGTCTTGCTCTGAGCCCATAGACCCATCTTCCAAGCATTAAATGTGCTCCCTGGAGGATCAAGATGGGTCATGGGTTTAGTGAACATTTGCTCAAGACTGCATGATTGAACCTGGATGTCCAGGCTTAGCTGGACTGGTCACCAAGATGGAGCTGGAACCTGATCATGAGAGCTTTGTCACAAAGCTGGGTGATTGACAGGCAGTGAGGGGTCCCAGTGTGCCCCAAGCTCTCCTTCTGAGACCCGGGGGAACAAATAGTCCTGGCATGAAAGAACAGAGTGCTTTGTCACCAGGCTGTGAGCCTGCTGGTCACACACGGTGGCATGGTTTTAACCTACCCACTTGCAAAATCTTATCTTTGGATTTGAAGTCTCTGGCTCTAGGGGCCTTCCAAGCAGGGCACATTTGGGACTGACGGGGAGAGTGTCCATGCAGGTGGATATGAGATGCCTTGCTCATATCCTGAGATCTGGGCCAAGAAGAAAGGTCACCTGCCACCTCACACCCCTCTCCTAACCACTATGACAAGTGCTGGGGACATCAGGACACAGCCTTCATTCAGTCTGTAGGACTTGTAAAGCCTCTAATGCATGCTCAGGAGACCCGCCTTGGACATATGGGGTAACAGGCCTGCAAGTGGGGTGCTGGAAGGACCAGGCATTCAGGCAGGGCAGTTAGAATGTGGGCTTGCAAGGGAGGGGCAATCTATGCCCTTATTGTTCAAGAAGAGGCAGAAAAGCAGGAAACTCCTTTAAAATGTTCCCCAGTGAAGCACATGATTGCAGATTGGCCACAACTGTGTGACCTTTGCAAACCTCTTACCCTCTCTGTGCCAAGGGCCCCCATGACAGACTGCTTCTATTGCTTAAATCTGAAATGCTCCCTCAGCCAGGTTCCTGTGTTGAGTATGTGCTCCCCAGATGGGGGAGCTCTTTGGGGGAGGCTGTGGAACTTCCCAAGATAGGGCTTTGATGGAGGAAGAGGGTCACTTGGGGCCAGCCTTGGAGATCATACCCACCCCTGGTCCCTAGTGCACTCTGCCTCTTCCACACACTCCCACTGCCGTGGACCAAATAACTCTTCCCTTTTCTCACCATGATGGACTGAGAGTCTCTGAAACCGTGAGCCAAATGAGCATGCCTCCCTCTAAGATGCTTCTGTCAGCTGTCTCATCACAAACAGTGAAAAGGGACTGAGGCACACGTGAGATCAAATTTTCCAGCCAGAGCAGTGGAAGAGGAAGTCTTGACAAGAAGAATGTCACCCGTGCATTCCCGCCACTTCCCCCACAGCTGTCCTCATGGTCTCACACTGTACAGTCCGACTGCATAGACAGCCATGCCGGCTCACCTATTTCAGGCTACGTTGGAAGGTTTTTGAGTCCAAAATTACCAAAGATGACCTCATCCAGCAGCCCCAACTAACAGAGATGAATGCAGGCTGGCTTAGAGGAGATGGGGTGCAGGGCTCTCAGAAGCTCCTGCTACCTCAGCTGATTCTGCAGAACTTCCAGGGCACCAAGAGGCACCATTTGGCCAACTATTTTTTGGATGAAACTGGACTGTAGAGAGCAGAGCTGGACTGAAATCCCAACATCAGGATGCTACACTAAGGGGGTTGTTTGTTGGGTGCGCTCGCTCTCTCTCTCTCTCTCTCTCTCTCTCTCTCTCTCTCTCTCTCTCTCTCTCTCTCCCCCCTCCCCCCCTTCCCTCCTCCTCCTCCTCCTCCGTCTCCCTGTTCATGTGCAGGTGCACATTGCATGTGTGTAGAGGACCAAGGACAATTGGTTATGATTCCCCAGGAGTTATCCACTTTGTTATCCAGGCAGGGACTCACTGGCCCGGAGCTCTCCAAATAGGCTGGGCTGGCTGGCCCAGTGAGCCCCAGGGGTCTCCCATTTCCCTGCTGTGGTTACCCATGAGCACCCCCACACCCAGCATTTTTTTAAACTTAGATTTCTAGCGATTAAGCTCAGGTTCTCATGCTGGCAAGGTAAGCTCCCGGTCAACTGCACTATTTCCCCAGTGCCTGGTATTTATGTTGATGGTGGTGGTTTCTTTGGTGGGGGAGGTACATGGGGTAGCCCCTATGTATCATGCTGACCTGGGACTCGCTAAGTAGCCCAGGCTGTCCTCACACTCATGATCCTCCTGCCTCAGCCTCCTAGATGCTCGAATTGCAGGTGTGACTACCCTGCTCAGGCGCAGGGCACAGAAGCAGCTGAGGTCATTGTGTGCAGCTCAGGCCTTACCAATGACTGAGGGGGGCCGCTGGTGTGGGAAAGGCATGGGAACAGGTAAGGGCGAGGTTAGGCTGTTTGAGAGCACTGCTTGGCATATTGCTCTGTGTGTGGCAGTAAGGGACAGGGCCTGGGACAGATTGCCTGAGTCTTGATCTCAGCTATCCCTGCCTTTCGACTCAGTGGCCCCAGTAACAACTTAGCCTCAGTTTTCTGAATTGAATAAATGGGGACAGGAGTGCAGAGGATCCTCACAGGGTGCCGGGTGGTGGTAGGATAAACCCATGGCAAGCTGCAAACATCGTGTAGGAAATGTGACTTCCCTGTGTTAGAGGCCCAGTGCACGGTCAAATGCAGTCATTTTCTCTCATGATTGTGGGGCTGGCAGAAAGCCGGGTCCACTGCCGCTGCATACCATCATGAAAGAGGAGCACCAGGGAGTTCCTATCTTCTAGAAGGAGATAAAAATTACGGGGAGTTTTTGTCTATTTATTTAGTTAGTTATTTTCTTTGAGACAGGGTTTCATGTAGCCCAGGCTAGCCTCAAATTCACTATGTAGCTAAGGATGACCTTGAACTTCCCAAGTGTTGAGATTATAGGCATGTGCCACCACTCCTGATTTATGTGTGCTGGGAATAGAACCCAGGGCTTGGTGTTTGCTAGACAAGCCCTCTACCAACTGAGCCATGTCCCTGCCCAGGATGGTTTTATACTGAGTCTCTTTAATAGCATGGTGAAGGGAAAAAAATTCTTATGTCAGGGATCATGGGAATCCTGAGTTCCTGGAGAGGTTGGAAGGTTTGCTCAGTAAACTGATATGGAGTGTTGACCTTGATGCCCATCACAGGGCAAGTGCACCTCAGGGGCAGCTCCCGCCACCTCGGGCATTCTGGGACCACAGACTGCTGCTGGGCTTCAGTTACTAACTGCCTCTGTGGGTCCATCGGAATAGTTTCTGGGGAGAGGTGGCTGCTGGGCATGAGGGAGCCTGAGCTCTTCACTGCCACCTCGCGGTAGTGAGGTGTAGCCTGGGTCACAGTGGAGGCTACAGACTGCTCTTTGCTTCTCCCTTGGAGGGAGGGACTCAAGGGAGAAGCACCAGAACATGATTTTTAGGAGCCAGAGGTCTCTTGGGCAGAGTCCACGTTTGATGGCTGTGCGCAGGGCTGCCAGGCGGCCCTCCAGAGGCTGTGGTTCCCAGGTCCTTCCAAGGGCTCTATCACCCACTGTTCATGGTGGAATGGCCAAGTTCCAGTGCCCTGGCTCCTGTATCTAGAAAAAGACAACAAGCCTTTTGGTTGTGTTTGTTGGTTTGACATTGCTTTCATTTTGTTTGAGACAGGCTCTCACTCTTATAACCTTGGAACACAACCCGACCTGGGACTCAAAGCAATCCCCCTGCCTCTACTTCCCAGGTGCTAGGATTATAGATGTGAGCCATCTCACCCAGCTGGACCAGTAAATCTTTGGTTCAAGGAAAGGGCATGGAGAGGACTTTGAAACTGGTAGATGATACGTCTGAAAATCCAGACGCCAAAAACCCTCCTGCAGGGTCGGTGTTCTCACTCATTGCTTCATTATTGGGCTGGAGCCTGGGCCAGCAGCATTAAGCGGCACTGCTTCTGAGCTTTCTAGAAAGTTCCGCCTCAGACCCGTGTTTCTGAATATGCATTTGGGCAGGTGCCTCCAGTCTGCTTAGTTTGAAAGCATTTGTTCCAGATGCCCGCAACGATGGCCGAGTGCAGGTGTGTCACGTTTAGTGAGCAGATTCAGAACTCTGGTGGCGGCTCCCTGGAAGAGGACTCGTGAGTTAGGAAAGGCCTGAACCTGAAGCTGTTAGCACAGATGGACACTGAGGGGCCTGGACTTGGAGTGGGCTCAGACATTCTGAAAGGGACGGAGCTGCCGTCAGATCTTCAAGAACATAGACTCAGAGACAGAGGGCCTTACTCTTCTTGGGACACATGGGGAGCACCTGGTCCTGGGGGCCCTTACTGTCCTGTCTCTGCTCCAGGCGCCTGGTGGACCGTCTGGAGAACATGAGGAAGAATGTGGCCGGGGATGGTGTGAACCGCTGCATTCTGTGTGGAGAGCAGCTGGGCATGCTGGGCTCTGCCTGTGTCGTGTGTGAAGACTGTAAGAAGGTACCAGCATCATGCTCCCTTCCTTTCGTGTTGGACACATGCATGGGGCAGAGGGATGTTGGGGGGGGGGGGGGTTAGACTGTGGATCTGGGGTCTGAAGGATGGAGCTTGGCTTCTGAAGGGCTGTTGTAGGATGTGAATTCTGCAGGATTCTCGGTCTCTCAAGGTCATCTGGGTCCTGGGTCCTTCCAGGGAAGGCCTTTATGTCCCCTTAGAGCTGAGATTGATGCAAGATGAACTCAGGAGTCTGGGGCATGAGGATCCTGGCTATGGGTTAGTTAGTAAGTTAGGTGTGTGGTCTGAAGAGTATGCTGTGTGTGTGTGTGTGTGTGTGTGTGTGTGTGTGTGTGTGTGTGTGTGTGTGTGTGTGTGTGTGTACATGTACGAGCTCACACATGTGTGCATGTTCCCTTAACATGCATCAAGCCACAAGAGACTTAGATAGCAAAGGCAGGCAAGAGGCTCAGCAGGTAAAAACACCTGTCGTACATGCCTAGTGACCTGAATTCAATCCTGAAACCCTGGCAATGTAGAAAAAGAGAACACCACAGAGTTATCTTTTGGCAACACATACTCAAAAATACACACCAGTAAAAAAAAAAAAAAAAAAAAAAAATATTTTTTAAAAGAAACACTTAAAAAGCCTCTCTCAGCCGGGCGGTGGTGGCGCACGCCTTTAATCCCAGCACGCGGGAGGCAGAGCCAGGCGGATCTCTGTGAGTTCGAGGCCAGCCTGGTCTCCAAAGCGAGTTCCAGGAAAGGCGCAAAGCTACACAGAGAAACCCTGTCTCGAAAAACCAAAAAAAAAAAAAAAAAAAAAAGCCTCTCTCCAGCCAACATGGACTCCTTGGACTTTAAGAGCATTCCTCCAAGCAGAGAAGTCCACCCACTGGAGCTCTTGCCCTGCTCCCCTGAACTATAAGCATGCAACCCTTCCAGAACTGAGATGCCACTGTCTTTGGCCCACCTGATTCCATTCAAGGGAATTCAGTGATCCACCCAGCTAGAGATACCCATCATGCTGCTGGGCATCCCGCCCTGTGATCCAAGCAGCCTATGGTGGTGCATGCCTTTAGTCGCAGCATTCAGGAGGCAGAGGCAGGTGGATCTCTGTGAGTTGAAGGCCAGCCTGGCCTACAGAGTGAGTTCCAGGACAGCCAGGGCTACACCAAAGGAAAAAAAAAACTGTCTTGAACAAGACAAATACAGTGTTGGGGAAAATTCATGTGAAAGATGATGCATTATAACAGTTATCTTGATAGACAATTTTATGCACCTGTAGGTTTTCCTATTCATCCTCAGCCAATGGGAAGCTCACCCCAGAGTATAATGTCCCTTTGTGTTGTCTGGTTATTATTCAGCCATTCTCTACTGGAGTTGGGTGGACATGTAGTCATGGCTAAAACTGTCTCAAGTCTTCTGGGAAAAGAAAGAAGCAATAAACAGAATGAATACACTGGCTTTTCTTAAAAATCATGCCGGTGGCCTCTTCTATATTGTGGATGAGAACCCAGGCCCCACAGGATGGATTCTTTGAGAGATCTCCCCTCCAATCTTGGGAAAGAATCCAGCTTTTGCCATTGGCAGCAAGACCCAAAGTGAAACCTTATTCCTATTGGCCTTGCTCTCAGAAGTGAAAAAGGGTTCTAGTTCTTTGGATCCCCAAGAGATCTTGAACTCCATTGCCACCCCTATGCCCCTCTTGCCTGTCCATAGTCCCCCAACAGCTCAAAGCATGCTTCACCTCTGTGTGCTCTGACTGTGTTTTTTTCCACAGAATGTCTGCACCAAGTGTGGCGTTGAGACCTCCAATAACCGCCCGCATCCAGTATGGCTCTGTAAGATCTGCCTTGAGCAGAGGGAGGTGAGTGGCCAGGCCTGTGCCTGGAGGGGGTTGGTGGGGAGGCTGTGGGTGTTGGCACTTGGAGGCTTGGGGCTTGCCCTGGCTCTTGTGTCTTCAGGGTTTGGTAGGAAAAGAACCAGCCTAGAGCTGGGGATGTGGTTCAGAGTGTTTGCTTAATACACACGAGGAGACCCAGACTCAATCTCCAGCATGGCCTGAACTGGGCATGGTGGTGCACACCTGTCATCCTAGAACTGGAGAGGCAGGAGCAGGAGGATCAGGAGTTCAAGGTCAGCCTCAGGCACATAGTGGATTTGAGGCCAGCCTGGACCCATGAGACCCTGTCTAAAAACCTAACAGGAATGAATGGCTGGTGAATCGGCAAAGTCTCTTCCTGTGCCGCTGTGGTCTTTTCCTTCCTCCCCTCTTCCCTTTGCCTGTTTATCACTACCCTCCGATTTCCTCTTCCCCATCCTTGTCCCTCACTTTCTGAGTCTCCCTTCCCCCAAGTCTCTCTCTCTCTCTGTGGCATAAGTATATGCACACGTGTGTGATGGTGTGCTTCCCCAGATATGAGCCTATGGCATCCAGAGGTCAACATCAGGTGTCTGTCATTATGGTCTCTGTCCTGCTTTTTGAGTCAGGGTCTCTTACTGAGCCTGGAGCTCATGGCTTCAGCTAGGCTGGCTGGCCCGTGGGCCCACGGGATCCCCCTGCTTCTACCCCCCAGCACTGGAGTGACAGGTACGCACTGCCCAGATTTGATGTGGGTGCTTAGAGATCTGAGGTCAGGTCCTCCCACTTGCCCTCCACCCACTGGGTCGTCTCTGCAGAACTCCCCTCAACTTTTCTCTGTCCTTGCCCATTGCCTTTCTCATCTCCCTGTTTTCTGTTCCTCCCCCTCCCCCTTCCTCCATGATATTTTATCTCCTCACTTCTGCTTCCTTCTCTTCCTTCTACCTCATCCTCTGCCTTCCCCATCCTTCTCTTTTTTCTGTCCATTTTCCTCTAGAATCCTTCTCTTGCCCACACCTGCTTTGTGTTATTGACCTTATCCCCAACCATTCCGGTTTCTTTACCATTCGCCCGCTGTTGTAGATTCTTGCCTTGGAGACATTATCACCATGGTCATGTTCTCTCTCTTCAGCCTCGGGACAGCAGGACACACAGGGAAGGTTTGATGAAGGTGCTATTTATGGCCGAGTGGGGGACGCCAGAAGTAGAGGGGGGAACCTCCCCACATGAGTGATGGCAGGGCTCTGAATCCACCCCCTGGTCTGAATCGAAAGAGAAAGGAGGGCACAGTAGCCAGGAAGATAGGTAGAGGGAGCAGGGGGTCACCACTACCCAAGAGCAGGGAGAGAGCCAAGGGGATAGATACCATGACTCTCCTCTCCACATCTGCACACTCCTCTGGTGTGCTCCTGGATCCTGTAAGCCAGAAGACTAAAGTCATGGAAGCCTCGTTACTATGTGCCATTGCTGGATAACCCTGTAGGGCTATAGCAAGATGGGAATGTGGGGATCTTCCAGATGTCCCCATATCATCTTGTCTAACCTGAAGTTATGATAAAGGCCTGGGGTCTTGAAGTTGTCAGGGAGTAGATAATCTGTTTTGAGGCAAGGTCTCATGTAGCCCAGGCTGACCTCGAACCTGAATTCCTGATCATCCTGCCTCCAAGCATTGGGGCTTACAGGTGCTTCCCTTATTACTTACATCAAGCGCCAGGTCATAGTTACAAGTTGGCATTGAGCCCTCCCTCTTCCTCTCTCTGGCTGTGAGTTATTGGGTTGACTCTTGATATGGCAAACATTCAACTTTCTCTATCAATAAAATGGCCACCAGGTTTGTGAGGCTGATGAGTGGAACAGATGTATGTGGCCACTGTCATGGCCGTGAGCTGTGGGAGCAAAGATAAACAAAAAATAAAAAAAAAAACAAAACTGGCAGTTGGCTGCCATGTCTCCCATACCTGCCTTCCTCCCTTCCCAGGTCTGGAAGCGCTCAGGAGCATGGTTCTTCAAGGGTTTCCCCAAACAAGTCCTTCCACAGCCCATGCCTATAAAGAAGACCAAGCCCCAGCAGCCTGCTGGTGAGCCTGCCGCCCCGGAGCAGCCTACAGCCCGGGCTCCAGCTCGAGGTACGACAAAGCCAACCCCTTTCAGAACCTTGGACAGGTCCCGGCCTACTGGTCTACCTGGAGGTGTCCTAGGGAAGTACTTGTTGTCTGTCAGCTTCTGGCCTCTTGTCTAGGACTCCGTAGCCCCTTCACAGTTTACCATGAACCTTGTTTGGGAGGGTATCACAGGGAACTTTCTAGAAAAACCAGCTTGCCAACTGGCTTTGCTGTCTTCCTTAGTGGGAAATTGAAAAGCACAAAAGAAGAAATTAAAATTAGGAATTGGGAGAGGCCCCCCACTCACCTGAATATACCATGGAACCTGGGGAACTTGGGCCTGCTAAAGACGGTTTCCTGGTTTTCTTGTGTTTCTTCCCCTCCCTTCTCCTTTTTCTTCTCCCTCTCCTCCTCTTCTCTGTCTCCTCCTCCCTCTCCTCTTTCTCTTTCTTCCCCTCTTTTTTTATTTTTGGGAAGAATCTTATGTAGCCTAGGATACTCTGGAACTCCATTATATCCAAGGATTTGGTGCCCTTGAACCTGAATCTCCTGCCTCTACCTCCCTAGTGCTGGATTATAGGTGTGCGACACCATGCCTGATTTTCACGTGTGTTTCTTCTATCGACTGTAAATAATTCTGAAACTGGACTAATTAAAAGTGAAAGATGAATAGAAGTGAAATTAGCAAAAGAAAATTACCAGCACTATTAATATCATGGCTTTTATCCGAGTATGGTTATTAATAATTAATGTGATCATTAAAAGAGAGAGAGGCAAATAGGAAGAAAAATGACTCCACATTTTCACTGGATAGCACCACTTGGACTGGCCAGACAAAGCCCTTGTAATAATCCCAATTAACACTGGATGGCAAGACCCAACTTGAGCAGCAATGCTGGGCATCATTTCTCAAAAGTGAGCTAGAGACACAGGGCTCAAATCTCAGCCCCCGACCCGATCTCTCAGAATCGTGGTGCCTGGTGCCAAAGGTTTTCTTTGTGGAGCAACACCAGCCATTTCTTTCTCTTGTGAAGCCACAAAGTTGTCAACAGACACTGTGTCCCTGAGGGGTGTGCAGTCCTACCAACCATCCCTCCTCCTGGTCACCCGTTCCTCCCTCTGCTGGGAGTGTCCAACCCACAGCCCACAGGCCACATGCAGCCCAGGATAGCTATGAATTCAGCCCAAAACAAAACTGCAAACTTATTTAGAACAGAAGCAGAATTTTGAGTCTTTTTTTTTTTTTTTTTTTTTTTTTGGTAACATGGCTGTGTGGTGCTTGCCTGTAGATTCACAGATAACGATGCCATGTTATGATGTCAAAGGTTGGACAAACTGCTGGTCTAGGCAGAAGAGTTGGCTGTTGTTTTGTTGGTCTGTGCTTATGTTTTCACATGCAATAAGGAAATTTGGAGCAAGCTTGAGGGAGAGGCTGTAGGGAAGCTTACTTAATTCTTCAAAACCTTTTCTCAGGAAGAGAGGCCGAGCCCCTTGTGGAGCTCTGAAGTAAGAACTCTCCAGACACCAGAGAGAGAGAGAGAGAGAAGTTATTTCATTATGAGTCCAGGATGGCTTTGAACTCATGACCCTCCTGTCTTAGCCCCAGTCCCGTCCCTGTGACAGGATGAAGGACGTAACCTAAAAGGAAGAAAGATGAACTTAGCTCACAGCCTCAGAGGTCTCAGTCTGGCATAGAGGAGAGGGTGTGGCCAAGCAGTTCACACAGCAGTGGACAGAAAGTAGAGTTTCCTCCAGTGAGACTCCACCTCCTAAAGTTTCACCACCTCCCAGAACGTGCCACCAGCTGGAGGCCAGGCGCTCAGCGCATGAGCCTATCTCTAGCTGTTGTGAATTGTGCTGTTATAAACATCTCCAACAAATATCTATTCAAGTCTTTGGAGTAGATACCTGCAAGAGAGAGAATACCACAATGTTGGGCAGTTCTATATTTAACCTTTTAAAGAAACCACCCTCCTGTTTCCTATGTAGCATAGACTTTTACATTTTTGTCAATTATACACAAGGATTCCAGTTTCTATATACATTTGTCAACTCGTGTGACTGTCTGGTTTGTTTAGCTGTTTGGTGTATTTGTTTGCTTGGCTGGTTGGTTTTGGGGACAGGGCTTCCCACTGTAGCTAGCCTGGACTGGAGTGCATAGTGATCCTCCCGCCTCAGCTTCTTTAAGTGCTAAGGTTACAAGCTTGAGCCACTAAGCCCAGTGCTGGTTTTTGTTCATTTGCTTTTTATTTTTGAGGCAGGGTCTCACCGTGAAGCCCTGGCTGGCCTAGAACTTGCTCTGTAGACCAGGCTGACCTCAAACTCACAGAGATCTGCCTACCTGTCTCCCAAGTGCCCAGATTAAAGATGTGCACCCCCACACTCAGCTGTGGGTTGGTTTTTAAGTACTAGCTACCTCCGGCCCATGGGTGTGAGTCTGTATCTCAGAGTGGTGCTGTAGATTTGATTGACATTTCCCTAAAAGTCAGTGGCACCCAGCTTTTCCCACTTGGATACTCCACAGAAATGTCTGTTTTGGCCCTTGGCCCATGTTTTAAACAGGACTCTGTTGCCCTTGGGCTGGTGTTCTTTACATGGAGGATTCCAGCCCTTTGTTGCTGGGTCATTTGTAAATGGCTTCTGCCCCCCTGTGGCTCACTCGCTCTCTTTGTGGATGGTGTCACTTGATTTTCAGGGGTTTGATTTTGATGAAGTCCAATTGGTCCTCTGCTTTGAGTGTCGAATCTAAGAAGCTGTGACATGAAGTTTGTCCTTTGTGTTTTCTCTGTGTTTGATGATTTAGCTTGTATGCGCATGCACATTCATGGGCATGAATGTACATATGTGTGTGTGTGTGTGTGTGTGTGTGTGTGTGTGTGTGCGCACGTGCATTCATATGCATGTGGGAGCATGCATGTTCCTGTGTGTGTGTGTGTGTGTGTGTGTGTGTGTGTGTGTGTACTTGTCTGTGTGTGAGCACATGTACATGTGTGTGCACGTGGGTGCATGCATTGAGTGTGTATATGTTTGGTACATTTTCAGTTGACTTTTTTAGATGTAATCAGTGCTTTTCATGTGTTGTTCAGCCTCCTGAAGGAAAAGACAACATCAGGACATCCCTGACCACACGAAATCCACCCCCCAGAGTCAATGTCAGATGCACGGTGTGGTGGCGCACACCTGTGATGTGACTGTAACCCCAGAGCAGAGATGGGGGCAATGAGGGGCAGAGACAAGCAGTCATGGGGCTCACTAGCCAGCTGCCTAACTGAGATGGAGAGCTCTGGGTTCAGGGGGAAACCCTCTCAAAAAATAAGGTGGAGAATGGTAGAAGGAGATACCCAGTGTTGACCTCTGGCCTCCGCATTCATTCCCCACAGGCAGAAATATACACGTGTGCATGCACACAGGCACATACACACACATGTATGCACACACAAGAGTATACACACATGTGCACCTGTACAATCAATGTCCATGTCTCCTTATCTCCTAGCACCACCCACTCCATGTTGAGCTGACCTTACTGCCCCCTTTTCTGAGTTCCCGGGTGGAAGGACGGACACAGCCCTAGGACATGCCACTATCCAAGTTGGCCTCCCCAACCTACTTCCGGGCGCATGCCTCTTCACTCCAGATGGCCCTTAAGCCCCTCAGTGCTCTCTCCTCTCTTCCTAGCCTATTCCAGGATTCCTGGTTGAATGTAGGCTGTCTAAGGTGTGCAGGTGAACAAACGATCCATTAGTAACATTAACTCCTCTTACGGAGCGCCTGCTCTGCACCGATCACATGATTAAACTCTTGGCGTGTATCATCTCACTTAATCCCATCGTCAGCTCACTGGGGGGCAGGTTCTAGGTAAGCACACTACGTTGATCCATGCCCACAGGCCCATTTTATTGTTTTATTTTGAGACCGATTCTGGTCTTGTACTCACTCTGTGTCCCAGGTAGGCCTCAAATTTGCAAGCTTCCTACCTGAGTGGCTGAGATGACCGGCCTGCATCCCTGGGCCCAGCTGACCTGTGCTTTTCAATAACCCTGCAGCCACTGAGATTTGCCCAGAGGGTCTAAGCACTGAGGGACAAAAAAGAAGGACCAGAGAAGGGCAGCCTTCAGTGGACCCTTAAGTGTGTGTGTGTGTGTGTGTGTGTGTGTGTGTGTGTGTGCACGCGCGCGCGCGCGCATGTGAATTATGCTGTCTCCCTCTTTCTGCAGGTTTGAGGAGGGCTAACTCAGTCCAGGCCTCCCGCCACACCCCGGCCTCAATGCCAAGCCAGGCATCTCCCCAACCTGTGCAGCCAGGTACCTGCCATGCAGCCCCTGTGTGCCCTGGTGTCCCCAAGCAGTGACTCCAGTCCCATCACCCTGCAGGACTGAAACCGGAAGAGCCCTGAGCTCTTTCTAGACCCTGGGAGTGAAGGAGCCCCCCCCCCCCCCCCCGTGCTGAGGGCAGGACTGCGGTAGAGGTGTGGGTGGGTGGAGCAATCTGTCCACTGTGAAGGGACAGGGCCTTGGTGGTACCTCTTCCACATCTCAGAGGAGGAGGAAATGGGACTCGGGAAGATCTCCATGCTGAGGTTGGACCTGGGCTTTTCCAATGCCAGCTGCGCCCCCCCTCCCTCCCCTCCCCCGGGACAGTTCCAGACATCCCAGGGACCTCTGCACACCATTGCCTCCTGTCCACCCTGTGAAGTGAGGGAAGGGACAGACCCCAGAAGTATGTCCTCATCACCATTCCTTTTCTGTCCCCTCGCAGGGGCCCCTGGGGGCAGCAGGGCCGCTCCTGGGCCAGGACGCTTTCCAGAGCAGAGTGCAGGCAAGTGTGAACTGTCCCAGCCTCTCGGAGAACACATGTACTCAGCCTGTACCCCAAGACCTGTCTGATGAGGCCTAAGCAGCCCACTTTCTGATACCCTGGACTGTCCACACTGACAAGCCAGCTCCTGCGGCCCAGAGCCCAGACTGCCTGGCATCCCCTCTGGCCCTTCACTCCCTGCTGCGTTACTCCTGGCCAGTGACTAACCCTCTCTGAGCTTCAGTGTTTTGTTGTGTTTTCTATGAAGTGTGAGTCAGCCTGGGACCTCTCTCACAGTCTTGTCGGGACGATTAAACAAATTAAACCAAAAAAAAAGTTAAAACAAAACTCAAAATCCAACCAACCGGCCAAACAAAAACCACTTTTTGTGGAGTCTGCTGTGTGTGTGGCCCATGATAAGCAAACAGTGATGATTCCATGACCCACATGCAGGCCGCAGGTGCCTGGTTGTCATGGTTACGAGGTAGCCATGGTTTTTCACGGACCCTCATTGTTTAACGCACCTTTGGATTCGGTAACTCCCACTCTACAAATAAGGAAACTTGCCAGGCGGTGGTGGCGCACGCCTTTAATCCCAGCACTCGGGAGGCAGAGCCAGGCGGATCTCTGTGAGTTCGAGGCCAGCCTGGGCTACCAAGTGAGTTCCAGGAGAGGCGCAAAGCTACACAGAGAAACCCTGTCTCGAAAAAACCAAAAAAAAAAAAAAAAAAAAAACAAATAAGGAAACTTAAGGCTCAGAGATGTTAAGTAACTGGCCCTACGTCACACAGCTGAGGTTAATTGAGGTTCATACTGTCTGGCTGAGTCCACACCACTCACTGACCTCTGTGGGGTTTATCTTGCTTTTATCCAAATCAGCCCTGGGGCATGCCTGTCACATTCAGGCTCCCAGACCTCTGATTCTAAGTGCGGCCTGGGAACCTGCATTCTGGAAGCTTCCTCCAGCCGCGTTGCTATGACACAGACTCAATGCTGCCTCTTCCCTGTCTCCTCTCGTCCCCACAGAGGCTCCTCCAAGTGACCCTGGCTATCCAGGGGCTGTCGCCCCAGGCCGGGAGGAGAGGACAGGACCTGTGGGGGGCTTCCCGTCGTCAGCTCCCCACCCTGCAGGCCCCTATTCCCAGGCGGCCCCTGCCCGCCAGCCACCACCTGCAGAGGAGGAGGAGGAGGAGGCCAACAGCTACGACTCTGATGAAGCAAGTAAGAGGCTCTGGCAGGGGAGGAGGCGGCGTGTTGGGAAAAGTCGCCCAGAAACTGGGCTGGAGATAGGGCGGGAATGGGACTCTGAAGCCAACAGATGCCACCTAACTGCTAGCATGTGGACCCTCAAAATCCTGTGGTTCTGGGGATCAAACCCAGGGCCTTGGATGTGCTGGGAAAGGGCTACAGCCAGCCACTCCCCAGTGCTGGGATGGCTGGTGAGTGCCACCGTGTGGTCAGTGCTGGTACCACATGTCCTATTAGGGTAAAGCTTAAGAGTGGAGCCTCGTTGAGTCATTTAAAGCCTCTTGTGGGGTTTCTTGAGGTTCACCTCAGGTGGCCATCTGCCAGACAGAATTATCTGGGGGCCCACAACCGCCTCAAGCAGGCCTGAGTCCCTGAGTCTAATGATGTGTGTCTATCTCATTTTTTTCCCTCGTGACTAGGATCCCTGCTAGATCATCCTTACAATGATTTATTAGACACCTACTGTATCCCTCTTGAACTCAGAACCAGGGGGACACAGACAGACACAGACAGACACACACACACACACACACACACACATATACAGGCTTTTTCTTTGTCTGCTATGGCTGAAGCAGCCAGGAAAGCAGAACGTTTGGAATGCTACTGGGAGGCGGGGCTTCCTGTGTTGCTTCCTGTGTTGGCTGATGGGTAGGTAAACTGAGGCACCGCAGGGAAAGTGCTTGGTGAACTGGACACCGCCATGATTGTGTCGGGCTGAGCACACATCAGGAATGACAGCGTTGTTAACACAAAGGTTGCAGGCCAGGAAAGTGGACGCTGGTGGAGCTGAGCTCTGGGTGGGCCTCCCTTCCCACAAGGGCCATCCACACTCCCTAGTTCCTGTCCCTAGGGAGTGGGGACAGGAATTCTCTCCTCTCAATCTGCATATAGTCCTGGAAAAGCTCCCTGAGACTCAGAAATGGCCAGTTAGGTAGGGTTTCTACTGCTGTGATAAACACCAGGACTAAAAGCAGCTTGGGGAAGAAAGAGTTTATTCCAGCTTACAGTTTGTAGTCCATCAAGAATGGAAGTCAGGGCAGGAACTCAAACAGGGCAGGAACCTAGAGGCCGGAGCTGATGCAGAGGCCATAGAGGGGCTCACTCAACCTGCTTTCTTATAGAGCCCAGGACCACCAGCCCAGGGATGACATTACCCACAATGGGCTGGGCCCTCCCCATCAATCAAGAAAATGACCCTCCCCTACCTGACTGGCCTGTGGGACATTTCCTTAGTTGAGATTTCCTCTTTCCAAACGACCTAGCTTGTGTCAAGTTGCCATAAAACTAGCCAACATAGCCAGTGAGCAGAGGGGCTGGAAGCCCATCACAGGGTTCCAGTCACTTGAGGGTCACACTGCATGATATAGCAGTTGCCCCCTTTGACATATGGGGGCACTCCAGAGTCAGGGGTCTGTGGTCTCAGGGAAGAGAGAGGGGAGCCCACCTGCCGTATCAGTCCCCAGCAGCATTCTGTATCTGCCCTCCTCCATCCTTGTCCTGGATGCTCTTCCGTCCTCAATCTCCCGAGTGTGACCTCTGCCAGCCTCCAGGCTGCCCTGGTGTAAGGCTCTGTCACAGGGCTGGGTACAGCTGGCTTCTCTCTGTTCCTCACTTCCTCAGCTTTGTCACCGACAAGGATTTCTTGACCTCCAGGTGACTCAGCGGCTCCAGGCCCTAGGTCATTGGGACAAAAGGCAACAGGAGAGACAAGAGTCAAACTATGGATGAAACATGCATCGTTTCGAGGTTACAATCAGGGAGGGTTTCTCTAGGAGGCGACTTTTGAGCCAAGCTGTAGAACGTGAGAGGGTGTGAGCCATGTGAGCATGGGGGGAGAGAGAGAGAGAGAGAGAGAGAGAGAGAGAGAGAGAGAGAGAGAGCATTCCCAGCAAGAGGACCAGCAAATGCTGATATCCATGTATTCCTTCAGCACACACAGGAGCACCTACTGTGTGCCTTGCACACAGTAGGGATAGGGAAGTCAATCAAGATCCCTAGCCCTTATCTTCAGGGAGCTCTCAACCTGCCAGGGGAGGAAGTCACTAACTAACACATACAAATGATTGTAGAAGGCTCTCGGGAGAGAGGTCTACCAGGATAGAGTATAAGACCGGGCTCTGCCCTCTCTCTCTTCTGTGGTCCCAATACCCAGCTGAGGCTGGACCCATTGGTGAGTCCCCAGGAAATGTTTGTGGATTGACAAAACATCTAACATTTTCTTGGCTCCCGTCTGTGTTGCCTGTAGCCACACTGGGTGCCCTGGAATTCAGCCTTCTCTATGACCAGGACAACAGCAACCTGCAGTGTACCATCATCAGAGCGAAGGTGGGTGGGGACCCCCGGGGATGCTCTGGTTTTCCTAGGAGACTGAGGGGATGGGTCCCAGGCCTGGCTCCTGCCGTCACTGTGGTAATGGCAGAGATGTGAACAGGGTTGTCACCCGCCATAGCAGACTTCCTTGGGGAGGACTTCCCCTGGGGATGGTCCTGTGGCTGCTTCCTGGGAGTGGAGGCAGCTTGGCTATGAGGGTCACCTAGGCCACCCACAGCACGCAGAGGGGACACCACAGCTGCCACCAAGACAGCCAGACTTGGTGTTTTCCGTCTCTCCGGCTGATGCCGTTGTCTGCCAGGGGCAGCAGTGAGGTGGAAACCGTGGCTGTGGTATTAAGGTGGTTTTGTGGGGAGGGAGGTACTGTCGCAAGCTGAATTCCAGACCTTGGGGGACTCGGCGAGGGGGGGCATGAACTTAAGTCTGGGATCCCATGGGGAAAAAAAACCCCAGCAAGGACACCGCACTGTGTTACTTGGGGAAGTGGCTGACCCTCTCTGACTCATTGGGGGTGACGGTGATGTCTTCCCTCCAAGGCAGGCTGGGAGCACCAAATGCTAAGTGGCTGGCCATTTGTGGGTATCTAGGACAGTCCCCTCTCTGTGCCTGCTGGCCTGTGGTAGAAGCGACACGACCCTCTTTCTTCACTCAAACACCCCAGTTTGGAGGATAAACAAGAATCAACATCTTAAAGCAACTCCAGCCTCAACCCACCTTCCCACCCAAGCCATTTTTTTAGCATGCAATTATTGAGCCCCTACTGTGTACTGAACACTGTACTGAGTGATCAGGTGTATATTACTCTCTTCTCTATTTTGGTGACCAGGTGAGGGAGGCATTTTTATTATGTATAGTATTCTGCCTGCATGTATGCCTGCATGCCAAAAGAGGGCACCAGATCTCATTACAGATGGTTGTGAGCCACCATGTGGTTGCTGGGAATTGAACTCAGGACCTCTGGAAGAGCAGCCAGTGCTCTTAACCTCTGAGCCATCTCTCCAGCTATGGGAGGCATTTTTAGTAGCCCCATTATTCAGGTGGGGAAACTGAGGCCAGAAAGCTAATGCCTGGGGTCACATCCTTGGATACATGAGGCATATCTTCAAAGGCAAGATTTCATTCATAACTCCCTGAACCCCACCGAGCTGTGGACACGGTCGACCCCATCAATCAGATGAGCAGGTTGAGGTCATGGGTGGGACTCCTACCTAGCCAGGGTGGGTGGAGAGTGTCTGAGTCACAAAACCTGGAGTACTGCTTAGGTGAACAAGGCCAGCTTACCTAATCTCAGAAAGTGATGCTAAAGTCACTTTCTCCTGGCCTTGAGGAGGGACAGGCAGTGTGAGCCTCATCCTCTAAGTGGGGGAAACTGAGGCCTCAAATGAAGGCAGAGGTCAGACCCTGGATTCAGGACTGTCTCTGTCCCCAGCCACATCTCTCTGCTGTCTATGCCAGGGTGCCCTCTCTATCCCTTTTACAACACCCAGGGGCAACTGTGCTGAAACCACCCTGATGGAAACAGGCTCAGAGAGGCATAGAAAGCTGCCCAAGGCCACACAGCTAGGGAGTGGTATGTTGTTAAACCCTGTGCCTGATGTCAGCGTCATTTTCATGATACAGCGTCCCTCTGTTCTGTCCCCACTGGGTGAGACAGATGCCATCCTCTGCTGTGGCTGACCATCTTGTGCCTCCTCCTCCTCCTGCAGGGACTGAAGCCCATGGACTCCAATGGCTTGGCGGATCCATATGTGAAGCTGCATCTGCTGCCTGGCGCCAGCAAGGTACACAGCGGCCCCGGCGCGCACGCGCGCGCACACACACACACACACACACACACACACACACACACACTTTGACCCATCATTGTCTTTGAGCTAAAGACGTGCCCACCCCTGGCTGTGATTGGCTAGTGATGCTATGGTCCCCCCCCCCTCCTCCAGCCCACTGGTGACTTTTGCTGCCCTTCAAAACCCAATCGTTCATTTACACCTTAGTGTGAATTAGGACCATCCAGCCTCCTCTTGTGTTTGTGGGTGTATTTCTAGTCTTCTCTCCTGGAGTAAAATGAAAAACTTTCGCAACTTTTTTAAAAGGCTGAACTCAGTGGCACAGGTTTATGACCCCAGCTACTGGGGAGGCTGAGGCAGGAGGGTCACAAGTTCAAGGCCTGCCTGAGTCACTTAGTGTGCTCCATCTTGAGGTTTAAGTCTGTTTGGGGTGGGGGTGTTCCTCAGGGGGAGAGCACCTGCCTACTGCGTCACGGCCATGGGTTCGACCCTCAGTGCTGTGGGAGGGAGGAGGGAAGGCAGGCCATCCCCTCTGAGGACTTTTGGGCCTGGAGGACACTTCCTGAGGACTCGGGAGACATGCCCATGTCCCTGCCTCAGAATGAGTGGCATCATTTCTGCTATAAGCCGTGTCTGTCTCCATGGGAGATGCCTAAGCTTCCTCACTTAAGGGAATGTTTGAGGAGGGGCTCCAGGTTGTCTCTACTGATGGATGCCTGCCTGCCTGTCTCTTGGACCTCTAGTCCAACAAGCTGCGTACGAAGACCCTGCGCAACACGCGGAACCCCGTGTGGAATGAGACACTGCAGTACCACGGCATCACGGAGGAGGACATGCAGAGAAAGACGCTCAGGTGCCTGCAGGTGGCAGTGAAGGGTGGGACCAGCCCTTAAAAAAACAGCATGGACTCCAGCAGGAACTGTAAATGTGGGGGGTGGGGGGTGGGGAGGGAGGTGAGAACTTCCCTGTCTAGGTGCCCACAGTTGTCAGCCTGTGTTGTCCAGGCAGCCATGGCAGCCATCTGCACATGCTCAGTACGGACTGAGGGGTTTTTGTCCCTCATTGTGTTTGGATGTATATCCCACAGCTTCCGGCATGGCTAAGACTCACATGCGTGGCGCTGAAGAAGCCACAGGGAAGGGTAGATAAGCAGGTAGGGTTGTGCATGCCTGTCATCCCAACACTGTGAGGCTGAGGCAGGAGGCTCAGGCATTCTAGGCTGGCCTAGACTACATAGTGAATTTGAATCTAGCCTGGGCTACATCGTAAGTCATTGTCTCAAGAAAAGGCGGTGTGCACTGTGTGATTCCATTTACCCAGGATCAAGTGCAGGTGTGTGGCCCCTTGCAGGGAAGAGTGGGTCTCTTAAGGTAAGGGAGGGTCTAGGGAAGGACCCCAGCACTGGAATGTTCTAGCTCTTTGTGTGAGCAGTGGTTAGTTGGGATCATGAGAGGCATAGACCCCCTCAGGCTGTGAACTGAGTCACTCACCAGGCTGCAGGTAAACCGAGGCCACGCCCAGTACCTCTCACTCAGGTGCACAGGGGGGCTCAGTATCTGTTGCTCTTTCTCTCTGGTTCCGCGGCAGGATCTCCGTGTGTGACGAGGACAAATTCGGCCACAATGAGTTCATTGGTGAGACCAGGTTCTCACTCAAAAAGCTGAAGCCTAACCAGAGGAAAAATTTCAACATCTGCCTCGAGCGGGTGATCCCGGTGAGCCAGGGGCTGCCTGCTGCCTTCCTGCTAGGCATTGTGGGTATCAGGCAGGGGCTGTGGCAGTGCAGAGTGCCAGGCAGAGGTGGGCTGACTTAGGGTCGGGAGCACATGGCCCGGGTCACCCAGAAGTAGGGAGCCAGCTTCTCCAGTCAGCTGGGAGTGTGGCTCACACAGAGTAAGTCTCGAAAACCAGTCCTGGACATGAGGCATCTCACTGGGACCCTGTCTGGTGGCAGCTGGTTCTTCAGGCTTCTTTTTCATTCTCACTTGGTGAATCCAGCTGGTCAGGACGGGATGGTCATATCCTCAACATCACCAGCTTCTGGGTAATGCCTGTCTGGCTAAAGTGGACACTGCTGTCCCAAGACACGGAGGTAGCCAGGTGTCTGAGGAACCACCTCCTTCTACCTCACTGCACTAAGGACAGGACTTGTCAACACTGTCCCCTCCTCCCAGCTGTCCTCATCTCTGATGGGTGGAGGTTGAGTTTAACCCATAGTTCACAACCATGCTTCTCAGAACCTTGGGGTCCATCAGAAGGACCCCAGAGCGACACAGGAGAAACATCTAGTAGGCCAGACCCCAAGAGCCCTGAACTACCCAGCCTGAGTGAATGAGTACTTGTGGTTTAAGGGTGGGCTCGCCGACACCTGGACAGTCTGCTGGTCCTCTGACCTTTGGTGTCGTCTTCCGTAAATTGGAGAATGCAGTAAAACTCACACATGGTTGCTGCCCCCATCTTGACAGTTAATGCTGTGTAAACATTGGTGATTGGGAGAGTGGGGGGGGGGGGATGTGGCTTGGAGAGCCCACCCTTGTGGCTCTGGGTCCTCCCTGGGCAGGGGGATGAGCCTCAAGGTTACCATCCCATTCTGTCTCCTCCCACAGATGAAGCGCGCAGGGACCACTGGGTCAGCCCGTGGCATGGCACTCTACGAGGAGGAGGTGAGCTGGCTGTGGGTGGGAAGTGGTGGTGTCTCTGCTGAGACTACCAGGGACCTCTTTTCTCTTCTTTTCCTCCCACATCATCCCACCATCACTGACCTGCTGGCTCATGGGGGGAAGGGAGAATGTCCTTCATCCCCAGGCTCAGACCATGGGAAGAGGGGACTTCTCCTATCCTCACATACCCATGGCTCCAGAGCCTACTTCACATGGCTTCTATTGCTGGGTCTGCAATGGCATACTCATCCCTTTGTAGCAGGGGACCTGAGGCCAGTCAGGGGCCAAGGTCAGTGACCAGGATGGAGCTCAGCTACAATGAATGTTCCAATCAGGGCTCTGCTCCCTTCTGACTCAAGCTGAGCTGCCCCCCCACCCTGCGCAATGTGTGAGCCTAGCCTGGGGCATGCTCCTGGGCTGCCAGAGGCACCTGCTGTCCATGGTGCTGACTGACCCTTTCGCTGGCCCTGGCTCTCCCGCCCTCCAATGCAACCTCCCACACCTCTGAGCCCCACATCGTCTTTTGCCACACGCAGCAGGTGGAGCGAATCGGCGATATAGAGGAACGTGGAAAGATCCTGGTGTCCCTCATGTACAGCACACAGCAGGGCGGCCTCATTGTGGGCATTATCCGCTGTGTGCACCTGGCCGCCATGGACGCCAATGGCTACTCAGACCCTTTCGTCAAGCTGTGAGTCAAACAGCACCCATGGGAGATAAGAGGGGTTCTGGGGGTCTCAAACCCTGGGAGAGGGAGGATGAGGATGAGAGACCCCTCTAGACTATTAACCATTGAGGCCCAGAGAAGGAAGGAGTCTGCCCTAGGTCACACAGCTAAACTATGCCCAGTGCAGACTGAACATGAGGCTGGAAGCCAGCCAGTGTGATGCCTGCCACATGGGGACCCTTGTAACTGTCCCTTCCTAGAGTGATTGCCATAGTGATCCCACTTACAGACCCCAGGGGTCAGCTGCCCATGTCCCCAGTAGCTCAGATCTCCACTGCCAAAGAAGCAATGTGACTTGATTCAAATTCACTATAGAAACACCCCAAATACCCCAGACTCGGGGTTATTCCATCAACATTGTCAAAGCTGCTCCACTGGTGACCACTAGAACCAGATGTCCCCACCCTGAGAGGGTTTTAGCCCTCTTGTCTCACTCCTGTAGAAAATACCATAAGAGCGTAAGCAGACTTGGTTGCTGGAATGTTCTTCAGCCATTCTGATCATTAGTGTCTGTCAAACCCTGCCCCCAAAAGTCCTTGTTTTCACCCAGATAATACTGATTGAGCACCTACTGTGTGGTAGGCACTGTGCCCTACTCTGAGAAAGAGCTTCCTGGCTGGTGGAAATGGTGGTGTGTGCAAAGGCCATGGGGTAGAGAGGAGAATAAGGAAGCAGTGGTCAAGAGCATGATGGGAAAAGAAAGCTGGGGTGGAGCTGAGATCCAACCACATGGACACTGGGGCCATAAGAGGAGAGGTTAAACTCTCCCCTGAGGTCACAGGAAGCCAGTGGATAGCATTGAACAGCAGGATGACCCAAGGTGCTCAGAGCAGGGCCACCACCATCCAAGGTGTCACCAGTGTTGGGTCACTTTCTGATACATGGGTGTCTCTTCCCAGCTGGCTGAAACCAGACATGGGGAAGAAAGCCAAGCACAAGACTCAGATTAAAAAGAAAACGCTGAACCCTGAGTTTAATGAGGTAAGTCTGCCTCCTCCTTTGACGTACTGGTGGAGACTTCCTGCCTGTGAGAGAGGAGTGAATCCCTTCCAGAATACTCCTTGTCACCTCAAAAGAGCATTTTGTTGTCGGTCGGCTTGAGTTATGTCAAAGGGAAGCGGGGCAGACTCCCTGTCACAAAGCCCAGAGCTTGAGAACCCTGCAGGGAGGAAGCTGTTTTCAGATACTGAACTAAGTCACCCCCAGGGTCTTTCCTGAGCTACGTGGACATGAATGAGGGCAGCGGCACTCTCGGCCACCTCCACAGCCTCCCATCGAATCCCACTGAGCACTGGGTCCTCAAGTATGCTCCACTCCCCTGTGTTCTCAAGTCCCCCACCTTGGCTCGGACCATGGGAGGTCACACCTGAGCCATGGTAGTAGACTCCTGGCTCCTCCTCCATAGAAGAGCAGAAAACTCCAATCTGAATGTACCGTCCCCTTTTTAAGTGGCTGTAACACCTCGTGCCCCTTTTCCTCCCTGACAAACTCCTATCCATGCCTCAAAACACAGAATAATGTGACTCCCCCCCACAACCTTTTCCTATGTCTCCAGAGTCATCTGTCCCTCCATCTCATGCTGAACCCCTGCTTCTCCATTACCCGTCCATAAGCCAGCCTGGCGGGAGGGGTGCAGGTGTCTGTCCCATTAGCGAATGACTGAATAAGGAGTATAAAGGAGCAGAGTTGTAACCTCACCCACCTGGACAGCCTCCATCTCAAACCCCAAACAAAGAGAAAAATACATTCTCAAGATGCCAGGAGACCAGGGCTGAGCTGGACTGCTGGGCTGTCCCACCCCTGCGCTCCCCTCTGGCCTTTCCTCTAAGCTTGCTAATACTGGATTCTACCATGCTTTGCAAGTGGGGGGAGAGATGTATGATACGGTTTTTTTTTTTTTATGATGGTTTTTGAAAGCCAACATTCAAAAACTCACTCAGGAGACCCACACTGCAGGCTGCCCTACCTTCTCTCAGAATCTGGACAAGTCACAAATAATACAAATGGGGGCGGGGAGGGGGGAAGGGGTGCAGACCTGGGAGGCCGAGGCAGGAGGTTCGGAAGTTCAAGGCCATCCCGGACTACCTAGCGAGACCCCAAGACACTGCCTCAAAACAAAACAAGAAATATCCCATCAGACCCTCCTTCCTGTGGCCTTAGTGAGTTTTTTCTGAGACAACAATAGTACGAACTTCTGAGTTTAAGAAACCTGCAGCCGGATTGCTCATAGTTCACCTGACATCACCGTACACAGCAGTCAGCAAAGCATTTCTTGGAAATGGTCCTAAATGGATCATCATGGATGGATGGAGTGATCTTGCCTCTTGGATGCCACTGGTGGTGTCATTAATGGCTGAAAATTAGAGGCAGCCTACACACCCAACTGTGAGGGACCAAGTTACAGCCCGACAGCCATTAAATGTCACCATGGAAATGGTTATGTAGACCCAGTGAGCCTTTGGGGCACCTGATGACCTGCATTTGCTATCTGAGGCCTACGTGGTAGGAGAACCCCACCAGTGGTCCTCTGACCTCTATCTGGGAGTCATGGCATGCAAACACACATAAACCCATGCGTGGTGTTTTTAAGATGATGACATTTAAGACACTTTTATTCATTTGTTTTGTTGTTTGTTTGAGACAAGTTCTCACTTGGTAGCCCTGGTTGGCCTGGAACTCACTGTGTAGCTAACACTGGCCTTGAACTCATAGTGGTCCTCCTGCCTCAGCCTCCCAAGTACTCGAATTAGAGGCATGAACTGTCACATTGACATGAAATATTTTTAAGAAATGGGCTAAGTTTTGGTTTTTTGGATTTTTTTTTTCTGTTTTTCAAGACAGGGTTTCTCTGTGTAGTTTTGGTTGGTGCCTGTCCTGGATCTCGCTCTGTAGACCAGGCTGACCTCGAACTCACAGAGATCCACCTGGCTCTGCCTCTCAAATGCTGGGATTAAAGGTGTGCACCACCACCGCCCGGCTGCTAAACTGGTTTTTAACATAAGTTATAAAGTGCAAAATGGAAACCTCAAAACTAGATTTAGAATTCATTGTTTGTTTTTAAATCACACATCAGTATAAACGCACATGGGCCCACCCTGACAGTGGCTGTTCTTGGGTGGCCGTGATGGATAATGCGTCATGGCTTCCTTCCTTGTTTGTTTGAACAATGAACATGACTGAACTTTACAAGTCGGCCGAAGAGTTGCTTTTTTTAAAGACTGTTAAGACCAGTGGTGGCTGAGGGTGAGGTACAAGGCTCATCCATGAGTTTGAGTCTAGCCTGGGCTACACAGTTGAGCTCCAGGCCAGCCTGGGCTAAGTGAGACCCTGTCTCAAAAAGCAAAACCAGACAAAGGCTGGGCTACTGTAAATCCCTAAATGCTAATTGAGGTACGCAATCTCAGGAAGCTTCCAGAAAGGCTGAATTCACCATCCTTGACCAACGACTGCCCAGTACCAAACAGATCCTGCTGCCAAAGTGTCACCGGGATTTCTTGTCCTAAGGAGTGTTTGATGAAAGGACATGACAGGCCTGGGGTGGGAAGGGTTCTTTGCTCCCAGAATGCCCTACTCCAGGGACTCCTCAGGCTCCTTCCCTAGCTGCCTGTGCTGGAGGCTCCTGGGATTGTTGCTCAGCCCTCCCTATCCTATTCACAGGAGTTTTTTTACGACATCAAGCACAGCGACCTGGCCAAAAAGTCCCTGGATATCTCAGTGTGGGACTACGACATCGGCAAATCTAACGATTACATCGGTGAGTGCCCCGGCCCTGGAGACAGCCCCCTCATCCGGCCTCCCCCAGAGAGGACGCCTTGCAGGGCTAGGGGAGGCTAGGTTCATACCATCCCATCTTCCAGCAGCTCTGTAGGCTCAGGGCTAACCTGGGACTCAGGGTCCCGACTTTGATCCCACCTGGATGTGCCTTTAATGAGTGAGGGTACACACCCACAGCAGAATAACTGAACCCCAAGAGAGCACAGAGTGTATCCTCTGCAGGCACCAGGGACACTCCTCCCCCCCTTAATCTCTATGCAAGTTCCAGATGTTGAGTTTAACTTCACCAGCCCTTCCAAAGGCCAAGGATAGAGAGAGTCATAAACATGGTACAGGGAGAGATTCCAGGCAGGGATAAGGATGGAACTGACCCTTGGGGAATCGACAGTGAATGCCCGGTATGTGGAGACAAGTACAGAAAAGGGTAGAAGCTGGGCAAGGATTCTAGGGGGTCTGGCTAGGTGCTGCAGCAAAAAGCCATAGTTCAGAGGGTTATTGATAATAATGGCAGTCACATACCAAAGGCCTCTTCTTAGAGGGCGGGGAGGGCTGGGGGTGTCACTGTCTTTCTCCCTGAGTCTAGGGACGTGAGTGGCCACTGTGTCCCTCTCCACTGACCTGCCCCTCTCTCCCTTCCCTGCTCATCCCCAGGAGGCTGCCAGCTGGGGATCTCGGCCAAAGGTGAGCGCTTGAAACATTGGTACGAATGTCTGAAGAACAAGGACAAGAAGATTGAACGCTGGCACCAGCTGCAGAACGAGAACCACGTGTCGAGTGATTAGGACCTAGTGCCCCAGTGCCCCCATCTCCGCCCCAGCTGGTCTCCCCTCTCAGAGCCGCCCTTGCTACCCTTGAGCCTTTGATATCTCCCCCACTTCAGACTGCTGCCAAAGACCCGCTCCCTGGGCTGCAGGGTCTGTATGCGAGCCCTCTCTGGTCCCTGGGATGGGGATGGGGGTGGGGGTGGGAGTGGAGAGATGTTTACAAAGGGGCTTGCTCTGATCTTGAACACATACAAGGTCATTCCCTGTGTCCTGTCTACGTGTCCCCTTGGGCATCGGCAGGCCCTCAGCCTGTAAGGACCAGCTCAGGGGCAGAAATTGTACATCGAGGCCGCCTCTGTCCCCCCACCCCAAAACACTCCAGAACAAAACAGACCCACCCTCGACTCTAGACACACAGGATACACAGAGGGCCTGCACCCCTTCCTCCAGGAAGATGCCCATCTGCTTCTTAGGAAAACGAATCCCCCGCTCGCTCTCCCAGCACCACCCTCTCCTGGCTCATCTTCCACCCTAACATTGCCCCTCATCCACCCTTACGCCCCCCCTGCCCTACTGTCTCTCTCCTACTCTCCCCTCCACAATGGAGGATGTGAGACAGAGCCTCACCCTGCCCCTGTGCCGGTGCCCCTCGCCAGCCTAGTCAGCAACCTCACAAGCTGGATAAACCTGGGCCCCACACCTCTGAAGTCACATCTCCTGTTGGCATGCCTGGCTGTCCTCGGGCCTGGGGTCTGCAGCGGGCACAGCCTGGGCGCATGGCAGCCGCCTTCTAGCACTGTAGATACCTTGAGGTCCAGGATCTCTTTCTCGTCCCTGGTTCCCCAAATGGGCACAGGTGGCACAGAGCTCTGGATCTGAGGGGACCTCCTCCCAGGCCCCATGCTTCTCCCTTCTTCTACTCTTCGGCAATGAACAAAGGAACCGGCCCCCACTCCCACTCAGAGCCACCTCTGTTCTGTCTCTCTCTCTTCCCTAAGGTTCCCGGGGGCGAGCAAATAACAGTATTACGAACTCTAAGCAGGCCAGAACCCTCCTAGTCTATCACAAATCAAGAGGAATGTGCATCCGAGGCTGGAGTCGGGCCGTCTTCCACGCACAAGAAGAAAGTCTAGTTTTTCCCATTTTGATAGTCTTTCCCCGTCAGTGTCCCAAGCCCCATCACACCCCCCTGAGGCAGTCAGACCAAGACTAAAAACTCTCATTCCCAACTCAGTCTTGCTTGTTCCTTCCAATGTCCCTTGGGATGTCCCCCTGCCCTCAGGGACTCTTGTGTTGCCCTGAAGTGGCTCTCTTCTAGAATCAGGCTCTCTGCCTGCCCCAAAGTGGCTGACAGTCCCCCACTACCACCCTCCCCCCGACCTTTGACTCTCCGTTTAGTCCCCATGGTCCCCCCCCCACGCTCTGCCCACTTCCCTGTCATGGTCACCCTTAGGAGAAAGCATGCTGGCTGTGTCGTCCAAGCCTACTGCTGGTTTTGGCTCTGGTCTCGGAATGCAGCCTGCTTGAAGCGCCCTGACGCCATCCACCACTCATGCACCCACCCCTTCACGTAGAACACACCCCCCCCCCCCAGGTGCATGCACAATGCCCACTGCCTTTACTTTGCACTAATGTAGCCAAAAAATAAAGTAGGAATATCTGGGAAAGCAGCTGTCCTGCCTCTATTCCTTTCTGGTTTCTAGATGTTTCTTCTGCCTTCCTACCAGGACAGTTATTGGCTTGGGGATCACACAAGCAGTTTATCGGGGTGCAGCGAAGGAACTCAACAGAGGGGCTGTTTGTTTGATTTATCCTGAGCATAGGCAGATGGGCTCCCACAACCTGGCTTCTAAGAAGATGGAGAGGAGTCCCCTGAGTTTCTTGAGCCTATCAAACAGGGGGCAAACTTTCGTCTCCACCCTCCCATCTTTGGAAAAAATGCCAACAGCTGTGGAACCAAGTATACTGAGATCCTGGGAGATGGCTCAGCCAGTAAAGAGCCTGCCTGCCTGGCACCATGAAGGTCTGAGTTCAGATCCCTAGAACCTATGTGAAGAGACAGTTGTGGGCCAGCGAGACAGCTCAGAGGGGAAAGGTTCCTATTGCATAAACCTGGAGACCCGATTTCAATCCCCAGAACACACAAATGTGCAGAGAGTAAAGAGACGCCACAAACGCTTCTCCTGACCCCCACATGCAAGTCATGGCCCAATGCTCCACGCATTTCACCCGTGCACACACACCATAAAGCTGGGCGTGGTGGTGTGGGACATAATCCGAGCACCGGGGAGGGAGAGGCAGGAGGAGGAGAAGCCCCGGTGCTCACTGATCACCTGGTCAAGCCCCATCAGTGAGCTCCAGGTTCAGTGAGAGACCCTGCCTCAAAAAAAATAAGAATGCAATAGAGAAAGACACTGTTGTCAACCTCTGACCAGCTACACACATGTACACACAAACATGTACACATATACCACACACACACACACACCACACACACACACACACACACACACCACACACACCACTAGAACTTAGACTTAAGTGGGGGCTGTTCAGTCCATCCATTGAGGAAACAAAGACCCACGGAAGCTAGGAATGGAAGGGACCTGGGCCTCCAGACTCCCAGCCTACTGCTCAATCACACAGTGACAGCAACTAGGATTGTACAGACCATCTAATACCACCCTGTGTTCTACCACCGTCCATCTCACAAGGAGCCTTCACTGACAGACCCACAGTCCACATTCTTCATGATCCCCAAAGCCAGATAAATAAATCGCCCCTCTAGACAGGGTCTCATACAGTCCAGGACGGCCCTGAACTCCATGTGTAGCCTAAGCTTGCTCTGAACTCCTGATCCCCTGCCTCCACCACTAGAATGTTCGGATTGGTTACAGGTGTGCATGACCACTCTTGGCTCCTCGAGAGGATTTTTAACCCCCGCTGTATTGTGTCCCTGAAAGACAAGAGTAACTTATTAGGAAGGCCAGCCACTTCCTGCCAAACTGGTCCATTCCTCCCAAGGCCAAGTTCTTCCAGGACAATTTCTCAAGTTCCTAGAATCATCTAGGAAGTTTCTTTTCAAATTACCCATGCTCTCCTCTCCTTCCAAAAGACTCTCTGACTTCTGGGAACAGTGTAGATTAGAAACTCTTTTCCTGTTTGCTGGCCAATTCCCAACTCCATAATGACTGAAGACAGCCGCCTTCAGATCAACCCGTTCAGCTACTGGCCACCAGGTGGCGACAGGGGGCAAATGGAGATCATACAAAGGTCTCTGACCCACCCCCTCCCAGGGCTCCTGGCAGACATCACTAACTAATACAGCACCCACTACAGCGCCTACAAATGGCTTCTGAATCCTTCCCAACACAGTGCTCCACACAGCCACTGCCAGGCAGCTGAGGGAGACCATGAAAGACACGTCATTTCCATGCGGAAAATGGCTGACCCTTGTCCCCAGCATGGGACATGCCCAACAGGCCGAGAGTTTTCATTGACACTGAAATGCTGTGGGATGTTCTGTATAAATAAATAAAACACTGATTGGCCAGTAGCCAGACAGGAAGTATAGGTGGGACTAACAGAGAGGAGAATTGAGGGAACAGGAAGGCGGAGGGGGAGACTGCCTGGAGCTGCTGCCAGGACAAGGAAGATGTAAGGTACCAGTAAGCCACAAGCCATGTGGCAAAGCATAGATTAATAGAAATGGGCTAAATATAAGAGTAAGAGCTAGACAATGATAGGCCTGAGCTAATGGCCAAGCAGTTTAAATAATGTAAGCGTCTGTATGTTTATTTATAAGTGGGCTATGGGACTGCTGGGGCTTGGCGGGACCCAGAGAGAAAGCTCCAGCTACACTGAAACTCCTGAACAGGATAATTGTTCTATTCTCTTTATCAAGACGGACACTGTGAATCGATGTGGTTGGGAAATGCTGTCCCCACACCACTGACGTCTTTCCTGTCACCTTGGCCAGGCATTCATTCCCTCTCTCTGACATCAGCATTTTGGAGCATGCCTGGGGAATCTCAGTTGTCTTACCCATGAAGACCCCTAACACATGGCAGGGGCTTCAGAAATGTCATTCCCTGTGCCTGCCCCTAAACTTGGGCTCTGGCAGTGCCCATCCAAGAAGATGCTCCTGAGTTGGGGAAGGTACCACCTTCCCCCCCAGGAGGCCGGAAGAGAAAGCAGGAAGCGGCACAAGGCAGGAGGCAGGGGTGAGAGTCTAGCTGTCCATGGAGCTTCCAACCTCCAGCAGGCCCTGCTTACCCTGAGTGGGAATTGGAGGCAGAGCTGAGTCTGGGCCCCATCAGGGCAGACAGAGGCCGAGCAGAGAGAAGGCTAGGTCAAGGAGCTCATGAGGAATAGTAGTGTGTCCCCAGCAGCAGCTGAACATGTGGCTTAAGAAGGTTAAACCTTGTGACCTAGGCACTCCCTGGCTCAGTCAGGGTGGCCAAGGGCAATGACCTCGTTGGGCTGAGTGACACATCAGATCTCTTTAAGACACACAGGAGGGTGTGGAAGAGGTATAGATGAGCTGGGCACAGTGGCACACTATAATCCCAGCATTCAGGGGGCTGAGGCAGGAGGATTGCTGTAAGTTCAAGGCTAGCCTGGCTTATGTGACAATGAGAACCTGGTCTACAACCAAAAAGGGTCAGTGAGAAGGCTCAGAGGGAACAAGAAGTGTTTGCTGCCAAGGCTGATGGCCTGAGTTTGATCCTGGGACCCACATGGTAGAAGAGGAGAGAGCCCACGCCTACAAGTTTTCCTTTGACCCCCATGTTCACAGGTGAAATAAATGTAATAGAATATTCTAAAGTATAATTAGCTTGGCCCCCAGATCTGCTCAGGACCCTCAGCTGGTCTCTTGTCCCACCCTGGCACCTCTGCCTGGGGCCTTCAGCATCGCAGCTCCCTCAGGATCCACCAAGAAGAATCCCAGTGAGACCAAGAGGATTGTACCTGGGGGGCAGGGAAGATGGCTCAGTGGTTAAGAGCCCTGGATGCTCTTGTAAAGGACCTGGGTTCCGTTCCCAGCATCCATATGGTGACAAACAAAACCCAAAAATTTTTGGTGTTGATTTCTCAAGACAAGGTCTCATTGCTGAGCTCTGGCTATCATGGAACTCACTCTGTAGACCAGGCTGGCCTCGAAAACACAGAGGTCCAGCCTCCTCTGCCTCCCAAGTGCTAGGATCAAAGGTATGCACCACTATACTTTGCTGACCAAAATAATAATATAATAATAATAATAATAATAATAATAATAATAATAATTTAAAGATGACACATTTTGCTGAGGGCTGACCTCTGACCTGGAATAACACAGCCACCATTAACACAATTTCCTGTTCCTATGTCTTTAAGGGGAAGGTAATTTTACCACGCAGAAAGCGTGTTCTCGGCCATAGCCTTGGGCAGGATCATTTTTCCCATTCATTTCCTCAATCTATTGCAGCTTTCTTTTCTCACTCTCTGTAGTGAAGACAGTTGTGGTCTAACCCAGGCCAGCCCAGCCTCCAGTTATCCATCCTCCTGCATCAGCGTTTAGGTGCTGGACTCCCAGGACCATCGGCAAGGCTGATTTTCTTTCTTGGTTGTCTGTTTGTTGAGGGGTATGTGAAGGATTAATAACCTAGAAGCCTCAGGCAGTCTGAGAGATTCCCCGAAGGAAGAGATGTAGCGCTGATCTCAGAGGGCAGTTAGGACCAGGGACGCCAATGTGGTTAAGGACTCCACCAAGCTTCACCAGCTTGGGAAAGCAGAAAATAGGTCTGCAGATGAAATCTGTCACCCAAAGGTCCTGTTACTACCCTACAAAACCTGAGGCTCCTTGTGCCCCAGGACATAGACTCCACTAGAGACACTTCCTTCAGTATTCTGATTAAAGGGCAATTCTGCTCCTGCAAGAGGCCACAGTCATCGCTACATAAATCACCTCTGTTGATCCTGACTAAGGACATGTGTCTGTGTGTGTCTCTCTCTGTGTGTGTCTCTGTGTGTGTGTGTGTGTCTGTGTGTCTCTGTGTGTGTCTCTGCATATGGGTGTCTGCATGTGGGTGTCTCTGTGCGTGTCTCTGTGTGTCTGTGGTTGGGAGCTGCCGTGTGGGTTCTGGGAATGGACCCAGGGTTCCCTGGGAGAGCAGTCAGAGCTCTTCCCTCCTAGAGCTGGGTCCTCACTCTGCAGTCCTGGCTGCCCTAAAAGGTACTGACTGTGTAGACCAGGCTGGCCTCCAATCCACCAGCTTCACTCTTGAGTGCTGAGATTAAAGATGTGCACCAGCACACCCAGAGTCATTTTTATTTTTATTTGTATGTGTGTGTGTGTGCTCCTGAGCATAAATTTATGCACTCTCTGTACAATACCCACAATGCCTTAGTACTGATCCTTCTCTCCAGCCCACAGTGTTGATTTTGTACACTTTCTTCACCTTCTCATGGGTCCGTATCTGTATACTGACAGAAACATACACACGATAAACTTACAGTCCTACTGAATAATGAGACTTTAGGGTGGCAACAGGCTCAGCTCCTGTGGTGACATTTTTGCCTTAGGCGTAAGTAAGTCAATACATAATGCAGAGGACACCGATGAGCCAGTTAGGAGAAATGTGGGTACAGCTAGGCCCCGTGGCCCAGCCCTGTAACACCAGCACTGAGG